CTATGGATCGTTTTTCAAGCTTGAAATTCTTTTGGATTTCCTAAGAATTTTTACTGCAAGCAACAACAGAGAAATCACTAAAAGATAAAAAGAGAAATTTTCCAGAAATATAATGTTACAGTGCAAAGCTTTAAAAGGTAAATACTCCTAGATCTCAGGTGTATTCCTTCTTGCTAAGTCATGTCTCTAGATTTCTTGGTTAAAGTGGGGTGGGGAATAAGGACAGAGAATAATCCAGAAACCATTAATAGATTTGCCTACATACCAAATCCATTTATATATATTCTTATTTAATCCTAACAACTCTATTAGTAGATATTACCATTAGTTTGAAAAAGATGAAACCAAAGCTCAGAGAATTCGTTACTTGCACACAGTCAGGAAGAAATTTGCAGAATTCAAACCCAAAAGTATAGTATTCAAAGTGAAAGACAGTCTAAACTTTGCCTCTTCCCTGATGAAGCTTTTTTCCATTTATGACTAAAAATGCATGGCCTTTGGCTCTCTTGTATCCATTAATATTTTCCTTTTTTTCTAGTGGGTTAAATCTGGAAGTTCCTGGCCAGACTGAGCACATGGGAAACCATGGGCAAGTTTCCATAGTAGCAGAAGAATCTACGTAGGTCTGCACAGTACCTTTAAAAAACCTGAATGTGAGTGCTTTCTCCAATTACCCTTACTATTTACAATCTTATACAAGCCTTCACTCATTTAACTTACCTACTTAGTCTTAAAAGCAGTAACTTTAAACTACCTTTCTTCTACCCCCAACTATGAGATTAAGACTGAACCTCATTTAATGTTGCAAACTATTTCAGGCAAAAAAGACTTAGTTCTCTATACACTGATCTTGTTTTTCCTCAGAACAATAGCCAATGGGCATTTTATCATATCCCTCCAATTATATTTCATTCCTACAATAAAGTTACTTAGATTGAACAAGTTAAACAATTTTTGATACTTCATAGAAATAATTTGTAAAATGCTCACCCAGCCCTAGCCCCACAAATTCATCAGGAGCCTGATCTTTTGTTCCAGTAAGAGATCCTTCTCTGCCTCGCACTGTTCCAGAAATGTATCGAGGTTTCACTCCAGTTCCTATAAGTTGTGCAAGCTCCAACTGACTGATGCACTTCAGAATCTTAATTTAAAAAAAAAAGAAAAAACTTAATTCCATGTTAAAAATGTTTGCAAATATATTTAAATGTATGCAGCCAGGATTTCAACTTAGGCTACATTATAAATCACTAGAGGCCCGGTGCACCGGCCTGCGGGGACCAGTGGACCTCTGCACCGCTGCAGCCCGGCCTTACCCTCCGGTTCATCAGGCTCCAGCCCGCTGTTCTCATTGATCACGCACAGTATGAAGTAGTGCTTAAAGCCGCAGGCGGGCAGGGAGGAGCCGGAGCCTGGGCTGGGCCCATGCTGCTCCCACTGAGCCTGCCGCCACTGAGCCTGCCGCCACTAGTGCGTAGAGGTAGTGTCCACGGGAGAGGATCATACAGCTGCACTCCCCAGCCGTCAGCCCAGCGTCTGGTGCCCATCTGCAAGCTGAGCGGCACTGCCACTCTGAGAGCACCCTGACCTTCAGGGGGCATCTCCTGCATTAAGCGTCTGACCCCTGGTGGTCAGTGCACATCATAGCTACTGGTCAGTCATCCGGTCTTCTGGTCGCTTAGGCTTTTATATATATAGATTATAAAAAGCTATCTGTATCTACCCCGAATGTACTTAATTTTCTCCCCAAACACTTAGGCATGTCAGTGATAGAATATTTAGCTTATTTTATAAATCAAATTACAAAACTGAAAACAGAGGAAGTGCTTATACCTCATGCCATGAATTTCCTAAATAATTTCCATCTGTATGAGCCACTGTGATAAGCGTTTTTATTGTGTCAATGTTCTTCTGTTTCATTTCAGTAATACCAGAACTCACTGTGAGTAAGGTAAATCTTGCCAGTGCCTGAACATATGCATCTCTTTCCAGCTATAAAAAAGAGAAACGTATACTTGACATGGTTGTAAACACAACAGAGTGAGCCTTAATTCCCTAATGACAAACTGTTTACTTGTTTAGTAAGTTTTTAACTGACAAATCATAACTTATATACAATACCTCAAACGAAAGTGTTTAAGGTAAATGAAACAGAAAATTTCTAATACAAAGGTGAAGGTGTCAAATCAAGGTGAGATTTTATTAATAATAAATTCATATAGAAAAACATTCATTGAATATTTGTTTCAAGTACTGTGTGAACTAGCAAAGACCTTATTTATAAACTTGCTCACTTTTTCATTACAAGTAGACTGTGCCTTTTTAAGGCCTATCATTCATAATAAAATATAAAACAGTTTTAGAAAAAGAAAGCAAGCTTTGACTACATTTATTATCAGACAAAGCATATAAATTACTAGGAGGGGCTATCTTCATGAAAATTATGTACTATATACTTGGTTTTCTTAAACTTGTTCTGAGGGTTAAGACATATACACACACATACATACATGTATATATATGAAACAGTTTATTCTTGTATTATTATTTATTAATTATTGTATTATTCTCTATATGAATAATTATAAGCCTACTATCTGTATATAAAATATGAAAATATATGTGATTCAATAAGAACTTGCAACAATTTATTTAAATAAGATATCAAAATTAACATATAGGAATTCAAAGTCTTGGGGAAGAATTGCAAACCAAAGTTATTATGAATTTTAGGCGCATCAGTATAGAACTACTCTGTCATAGATTCTCAGATTCTTAAATATTAAGATTTAAATTACATCATAAACTTGAAATTAGTTTCTCCTAAGTCAAACATAAAAAAATAATTTAAACTATAGTAATGGCATAAGTAGACTGACTACAAAGGCAAATTTCCTTATTACCTGAATGCTGAAAATGCATGCAATTCTGATTGCACATCTTATACCTTCCAGGCAAAGAGAAGCTACTTCAGTATCATCACAGTCTTGTAGACCCACACTGAATGCAGCCAGAAAAGGTGTCCAAGCCAACTAGGAAAATTAAAATTTAAAATATATCATGTATATCAAGTATTAATTAAAAATTATGATAACACTACATTCATAGTTCTCAAGGCTTTCAGACAATAAATAACTTGAAGTTCTGAAAAAAAAAGCAATAAATTTCTTAGCATAGCTATTTGGAAAGCTTTCTTAGACAAAAGGAAAAAAACCGATTTAATGCTGCCTGGTCTTAAATAAATAAAAGAATAAGATCATAAATTCAGTAGAAGGCCTTACGGATATTTTAAGTGCAGCATTTATAAATTATTCACATCAATAAAATGGGATAATCAATATTCAAAAATGATATCACTTATACCCCTGACTTGAGAACTCATCTCTCTCTGCAAGCTTTTTCCCTTGCAATATCATGGGCTTTTTATTACCAAGAAAATCCTTTAGCATTTTCTACTTGCAGCAATTCTATTACTTTCTTTACTTCAAGTATGCTCCCCGGACATCATTTAGCCTTTTTTTTTTTGCAGTCAAATACTTTACATTGACATGTCAGCGATAACCCTGGACAATACTTTAAAAATATAGTTCAATAAAATATTTCTTCATTATAGACAGTGAAAGCCAACAAACACTAAATTTTACTATAAAAACTGAATACCTACTTTTAATGGAAAAGAAAGAGCTACCCTTTGACTGCTGAACATGCTAATGTCAAAACATAGAGATTAGTGTGTGTGTACATTGACATGTCAGCGATAACCCTGGACAATACTTTAAAAATATAGTTCAATAAAATATTTCTTCATTATAGACAGTGAAAGCCAACAAACACTAAATTTTACTATAAAAACTGAATACCTACTTTTAATGGAAAAGAAAGAGCTACCCTTTGACTGCTGAACATGCTAATGTCAAAACATAGAGATGTGTGCCTGTATGACTTTGACATGTCTGATGTGAGAGTATTTGCTTTTAATAAGTCGTCATGAAGCAAAACTATAAATCATATAGCCATACAGATGAAAAAATGTTTATATGAGTGTGCTATAGAAATGACAACTAAAATGTTTAAAAGATCTAAAAAGTTTTTAGCATTATGAAGGAAAATACAACACTTTGCTTGTAACAGCAGAAAGTTTAGAAATAAAGTGTATAATCCCTAACAAATAACATAAACCATAGTACCTAACTTCAAGTCTTAGCTTTGCCACTTATTTAATCTTTCTGAAACTCAGTTTCCTCCTGTTTAATAACTGGTCTATCACTGTGAAGAGAAGCTTTGGGCAGGATATGAAGTGCAGAACTTTTAAAATACAAAGTACTACATGGAAGTAATAAATGACACATTCCACTAGAAACCCTGTATAACATTTTATGGAAGTATATGGTCCATAAGCCAGTAAAAAATGTTTAACTCTATTAAAAATTAAAGACAATGATTTCTCCAATCAAATCACATTGAATAATACCCAGGGACAGTGAAATTAAATTGCCCACTCATAATTGTATAAACCTTTACAGAATACAACTTGCCAATTGTAGAAAGATTCCTAGTAATGTGTATATCCCTTCATAGTATAGTGCACTCTAGGAATCTCTCATTTATTCCTTGACCCAGTCAGTGCTTATTATTGCGCACTGGCTACAAGTGAGCAACTGTGCCAGATATTGGGAAAAGTGAACAGAACAGATGTAGTCCCTTGCCTCGTGGAGCTTAAAGTACAACAAAGAGGCACACCAGCCTTGTGTTTTAATACACATATTAACACAAATGTACAAATACAAATGGTTATAAATACAATGAAGGAAAAGAACAGCATGTTATGAAAAGGGACCTAATTTGAATTAGAGGGGTCAGAGCAAAACTTTCTGAAAAGGTAACATTATAAGTGGAAACTACACATGCAAAGAAAAGAGCATTCTAGACACAGGACACAGCTTATAAGAATGCTCTGGAGAGAAAATAATTTAGGACATTCTAGAAGCCTAAAGAATGCCAGTGTGACTGCAGCACAGTAAGAAACAGAAGAGTTCTAGCAATGAGTTTGGAAAGGCAGGTCCTCTCTAGACCCTCTCAGTGTGCTAATTTCATCAAGTGTCATGCAAAGTCAGTGAAGAGCCTTAAGGAAGAAGGTGAAACTGCATTTTTTCTTTTAAAAAGATCACTCTGGCTTCTGTAAATGGATAAGAAGTGCACATAAGGACACTACAGTATTAAGAATGAGAAATGAGGGTGTCTGAAGAGAACAATGGCAGTGCTCAGAGGATGTTTACATAAACTATAACAAATCCATATCATAAAATGTATTGACAAATTCTTAATAATACAGGGAAATACTTCTGTGAGAAACCGCAAGATAAAAAAATTCTATACATAATACGATCACAACAGTTTAAGATAAAAAAGTAGTATATTAACAAAAGGTTTTTCTGAATGGCTGAATTATGGCTAGATCCTTATTTTGCTTTTTTCTGCCTCCCCCTTTACAAAAACATTTGAAAAACAAAACAAAAGAAGGGTGTAATATTATACAAAACAAAAAAGCTGCCTTATAAAATATGTTTATAATAAAGAAAAAGTGTTTATAACATTTCAACATGATTTTCTATTATTATTCCAAAAGATAAAGCCAGTTATATACCACTATTCCTTTTAACATTACCTCCTTAGCCCCCCTCCTATTCTATAATTCTCCATCAACTTTTAGAAATATCACTCTCACTTAGACCTTGAAGTAGGGGTAAAAGTAATTATAAAATTTTACACCTAAAAGGAAGCACAGAAATCTTGTAGTCATTTTCACCACCCATACATATGTATAGTGAAGTCTGCATTAGAATTTAAATTATGATCTTTAGCTTCCACAGACCATCTTAACCACACAAACTGCAATGTACTTTACCCATTTTCCCTTTCCAAACTTAACTAGACTCCCCTCCACTTCCCTACGATCCTTACAATGCACTGCTTGCTCATTCTAGAATTTGGAGAAAGGGTAGAAAAAAAAGACTAGGAAATGAAAAAGGGATGAGAAATCACATTTTAAAGAACCAGTACCATTCTTACTAGATCAACCTATAAAAATAAACAATGCTTCTTTCTATTCCTCTTTTTTTCTGGGCTCCAGGAATATCAGAACCCTCCTATTATATTAGTTCCTAGGCCAGAAGCACTGAAAGAGAGCAAGCAGCTCAATGAAGATGCTTTGAAATTTTAGGTAACTCCAAAGTTACCTAAAGTTTGAAATAAAACTTATTTAGAGAAAACCAGGCAAAGGATTAATGATCATTCTTTGAACTTTTTCTATTCTTAAGATCACACAGCTATTAATTCCTAATAGTGCATACATTTGTCATTCTCTTTAAGAATACATTTTATATTTGCCATGTCCTAAATAACATGGCTTTTTGCTTCGAGGTCTACACCAATGGGATATGTCATTATTATTTCCTTAAGTCAAAAATATGCTGAACAAAATTATATGTAAATGTCTACTGCCACCAAAAGTTACTAGTAACTCTTACCTTAAACATGGGTCTCACATGCTCCAAATGCGTTGCACTTGTAAAAGGTGCTTGAACATGGCTCACGGCTTCCATGAGTGCTTTAGCTGTCTTGGCCATCTGTTCCATTTCTAAGTTATACAGAAGTCTTCTTTGTTTTTCATTGGCTACATCTGAAACAACCACCATTAGCATTTGAAATAGGAAGCATTTAAAAATGTTATTTTGATGTTTTATTACAAAACAATAATTACCACCAATACACTAATTAAAAATAGTCCTAAGAAGTCAGACACAAGCGGTCACATAATGTATGATTAGATGCATATGAAGTATCCAGAATAGGTAAATCCATAGGAACAGAAAACAGACTGGGATAACCAGGGCCTAAGGAATGGGAGGGAACCTGAAGTAACTGCTTATTCGAACAGGGTTTTATTTTGGGGTGATGAAAATGTTTCAGAACTAGGTAGCGATGGTGGTTGCACAACAGGTGAATGGACCAAACGCCACTGAGTTGTTCACTTCAAAATGGTTAATTTTTTAAAACATTTTTTCTAAAACATTGATTTGAGGGGGGGCGAAGAAACATCAATGTGAGAGAGACACTTGAATCAGCTGCCTCCTACTCAAGTCACCCAACTGGATGACTGAACCCACAACCTGGTATGTACCCTAACTGGGAATCAAATCCACCACCACCTTTTGGTGTACGAGATGATGCTCCAACCAACAGAGCCACATCAGCCAAGAGAAAATGGTTCATTTTATATTAAATGAATTTCACCCCAATAATGAAAAGTGTAAAAATCCTGCACTAGGAGTCAGGGATAAGTAGAAAACCTATGAAGAGGGAAGAGAATACATACAAACCTGGGATGGGAAAAGAGATGTAAGAAGAAATGGCATCTTTGAATAGTATCTCCTGAGTTAACAAGAAAACAATGGCCCTGACACTCCAGGATGATTTAGTATTTCAGAACACCACCATCTCCCTCCTATATCTAGCTCTCTAATTTGCTACCACCACATACGCAACAGGCCATAGA